TGTAGGGAAGGCAGAATAGGATGCTAATCCTTGTGCCACCTTGTAAAAAGTATTACATGTAAATTCACCTTTCTGATTTTGATCAGGGAAAAAAGAAAAAAAAAAAAAAGAGTATTTTGAAAACAAAGCAGTCTAAACATTAATCTCAGACTGACTCCTCTGAAAAAGCCTAAAGCAATTTAAAAAACAGTGTCTTCAAGCAGCCTGGATCCTTTCATTAACACGATGGTTCATATTTCTTTATTTTCTTCTCCAATACAGAAAACTGTTCAAATGCAGCAGCCAGGCACACAGTGACATTCATTCATATCCCCTAACGGTAAAGTCTTGTAGTGCCTAATTCTCTCCACTTACACTAAAGAGAGCCTACAGTGAACACCTCAGATGAAGACAGCTACACTGCCAGTACCTGCCTTTGACTTGAAGAATGCTCTCTGTAGTGTGGTTTCTTCAGCTGAGAGGACACACATAAAAAAGACACGCTCCTTCTCTATGCAGAAAATTCAAGCCTGCCACATTCTCCACATCAATGGCAATGCTATCCTACCTTGATGCTCCTGTCAGTGTCATAAAATACACATGTGCACTATGAATACACATACGCTTTGCACTAAACGCTTATTTTCCGAATGAAGCACAAGAAGACTGCTAATTTAGTATACTTGTAATCGCAACAGTTAAAAAAACAACAAGATCCTTCCATTGCTCCAACCAGTAAGGTACCTATGCCTTCTATTACACACAATGGCAAAGAAAGAAATCCACATAGAGTCACTAAAACCCACTTCAGCTTTTCCAACGTTATTCTTTGTCACAAATACCATATCTTGATTTTGTACTGCACTGGAGACCAGTAATTGAAACACAACAAATATGAGAAGGCATCAGTTGGGCCACCCTCCTCATGCATCTTCAACATCTGAACTGCCACGTGAGAAACCTTAACACTTACTTAAAAAGCATGTGAGTACCTCTGACCAGCTTCACGTCCATTTTCGAAGCAAAACAAAGCCACAGTGCTCACCTCTCTCATTCCTAGAGCTCCCTCATTAAACAAAACAATAACAAAAGCAAAAAATCTGAAAGTGATCCTTCACTTCAGAGCAGTACTTCACCAGAAAATGGAAGTGTATTATCCCAGACAGTCAGGCAGTTTTGCTTCCAATAATGGGTAACAGAAGTCACTTGTTAACTACAGTAATAAACTCATCCTACTTCATATACTAAGACTGACTTTGTTTGTTTGCCTTCCACTAAATCAGGTAATTTCAGATTAATTACATGCTCTGTATTTTCACCCATTTAATGACCATACTTTAACTCTTCAAAAGCAAAGTTCCAGAACTGTAGCGTGAAGTCTTTATAAAAATATCTAAGTAGACAACACCTCAAGGATAGCAGGAAAAAAAGTGTAAGTGCAAATCAATACATCTGTAATACTAAACACCCTTTCCCAGAACAATATGGAGCTTTGTTCTCATACAATGACCTATGCTTTAAGAATTCAGGGACTGCAATTATCTACAAATGTCTTTGTTTATAGTTCACTGAGGACTGTTCATGGCTTTTTTTTTTTTTTTAAATCACAGAGGATATTTTTTGTCCCTTCTCACTTGATAAACTCGTCTCCCACAGTGTCTGCAGAATGAAAAGGACACAATGTAATAAATAACTAGCCAAAACATAAAAATAAACCACCCTAAAAATTAGGACTCCTAAAAGATTCTGCATCTTACTTGCGTAAATCCCATTGAACAATATATTCCATAAACTTCCAGTTGTCAACATACAACCAATTTTTATCAAACAGAGCCTAATGGTTCTTTATACTTAATACATAAGATGTTAGCTTTAACTGCAGGTCATCTATTTGTTTCATTGACGTGCTAATTCAACTCAGTTAGCCTAAACTTTTATTCTTGGGCGAGTTTAGGTTTCTGCAGTATCTGAACAAAACTGTAACTTGTTAGAAATCAGCCCCTAAAGGATGCACAGAAAACATAAACAATAATTATTACCACAATTACTCACCTGCATGAGTTCATTGCTGCCAATCAGACTGTCTTCCAGCATCTCCTGGGTCAGCTTGCCCATGGTACTGTAAAACTCATCCGCAGTTTCACAACACTCTATTTGCCTACATCAAAATACACGTTATTTTGTATTTTACTCTTACATATGATTATACATCTCCTAACCACAACTGAGCTTTCCATCATCACAAAATACGTGCTTGCATTAGTCACCTTAATTCTTAAGTTTATTGCAATCCTCCCTACACTTCCAAATAACAGAACTGTGGACGTTACATTGGAAATACTGGGGCAGTAAAAGGATGTACTGAGCACAGCTTATCGCCCTGACTATTTATGATGAAGGATTCATGCATGTCCAGACAGGTTATTCCCTCTGCCTCTCTCACTTCTACAACACGAGAATCGATAAACCATGCCTCCTACCAGCACAAGGGAGCTCTCCCATCAGATCAAAAAGGGAGCATAAAGATTTCTTGACCGCCTCATCCCCCATCCTTCACTACGCACCAAACAGACACATTCACTGGTTGAACTGTCTTGTCGTCAGATGGCAACATATTCGCTAGCCAGAAAGCATTCCAGTGGAGTAAGTTACATATAGGTGTATTTATATATGTCATTGTATTCAAAAGCGCTGAGCTCACATAACGCAGAATGAGGTAAAATTCACTCCTATCCTGCATATTTGTGAAAGCTATTTCTAAATAAGACATGCAGACTTTTTTTGTTGTTCTTGTTTTGGTGTTGGGCTTTTTGTTTGGGGTTTTTTTGGCTGGTTTGGGAGGTGCAGTTGTTTTTTGTTTTGGTTTGATTTTTTCCCCCCATTTTTCTTTAAATTTCTAAAAACACAGAACCATCCACACAGTGTCAACTAGAGGAAGAGAAATAGGAGTAACATGCTTTTTTTGCGAGTTGCTGTTCTACACACATTAGGGTCAGATGCTAAATATCCTCTCCCATCAAATGAAACATTTGTTTCACTTCTATCCCAAAAAAGTGCATTGCTGGCTACATATTGTAGCCTCCCATATAAAATAAAGCTGCTGGAATGATCAAAAAAGCACACAGCCTTTTTTCATAGCGATTAGAAGAGGAAGCTTCCCTTGATCTTCAGTCATTGAACTGTGAAACTCCTACTGAAATCCTAACATAGTTTAGCTAAAAGAACTATTAAATATTTTTTAAAAAAAAGCATAGAAACTATGGGTATGTAGCCAACTATCACAAACTTACTGCTTACCTTCGCTGGTACCTTCAGACTCTCACGTCCTCCACACATTGCTTTCTCTACTGCACCTATTTTCAGCCTCCCCATCCCTTCAGTCTCCCTCAAAACAGAAGTATGATTGAACCACCCACATTTTAGGAAAAGCACTTCTCACCCCATTTTCATGACTAGAAAGCTAGTCTCGAGAAGTATGAAGATCATGAGACCATGATCACTGTTTCAGGCCCCACTTCTTTAAATATCCCCATTCCCTTTCTAGCAGAGAAGAGGAACAAAATCAGAGACTTCTCCCAGCAAAGACATAGATCTTCTACTTCCTCATCTTGTTTGATATCATTAATCACAAACTTACCAAATTTCAATTCTTGTTCAGTTTTAGTGACTCATCATCTTCTGGATCTCTAGTTATCACACCAGTGTCCGTTTCTGCTAACTGCCCCCATATCTGTCAGACCTTCTCTCATTCCCCACAAACAACAGTTACAAGGTGTGCAGCATAATCAATTTATTCTTCTGGACATATTCCTATAGATTTCTTCATTCTGTTCCTTCCAATTTTTATAAAACACATTTCATTTTTGCTCTAAGTTTTACAGTAAAATTTTCAAAGCAGTGACTTTCTTTTTTATCATGTAATGAGTTTGGAACATTTTTAATTACAGCTTTTAATGCACAGAGACCCACTACAATAGGACCTTTTATCTAAAGGTACGGTACAAAGCAATACAGCACAATGGGACTATATGTAGCTTAACCCGAAAGCAAATGATTCATGCAAGTTTCATTCATGAACTGAACAAATAAAGCTCTTCAGAAATTATTATTCTAACTATTATTCTTCTGAATAAAAATTAAATATACTAAACAAAGTTTCTTACAATGCCACTGGCCTGTAGTACCAATTTCTTCAAGAAAAAAGAAACAAAACCTCCAAAGACAGAGCTGAGCACAAATCCTCCCAGTGATTCAGCCTCAAGGAAAAAAAGGAAGGTGAGTGTTGATAGGCATCACAAGAAAAATGTGATGCAGCTGCTGATGCCAGCTGAACTAACATCTGCTTGACCTGTCAGAGCTCACACCTCCCACTGAAGTCAGTGACAAAACTCATTTCTCTGGGAGCACTGTACACTCTTTGGAACGCAAATATTTGCTACGACAACAGAGGAGTTGAGAAGAGCTAACCATCTCTTGTGTTTCGTCCTATGTGGTGAGTTTCCAAGGCCATAAAGGACTATAACAGCAGCTTGGCTAGAATGTGCTTAAAAGCAGAGAATTTCAGGAAAATTTGTTTGCAGGCCTTAAGAGAAAAGAACCGTGTAACACTAAATCATTGTCTCAGTTACACTGAAGTCTTTTCTTGGGTATAGCAAATGGGCTCAAATCCTTAAGTCTCCTTAAGTGAAAATAAGGGAATTAACATCTCCCAGCTTCAGGTACCCAACCAAATTAGCTAGTCGCCTTCAAGTCTCTCTGTACGTCTTTCCACAAAGTATTTACCAGTTCCCTCGCAGGTCTATGTTCTGGAAAGTCCAACCAACCTTTTAGCATATCGTGAAGACATTATACACAGACAATGCAAACAACTGGAGACATTTTCTGCAGCAAGGGGCAATTATCATGCCCATTCTGACATGATGCCAGAAGCATGTGTTTTTTGGGAAGCCATAGAGGCACTTTGTGCAGCTTTTTCACAGCAGAATCATTCTCCTGAAAGATTGCATCTCGTTTAGAATTGAGAACACGCACTTCCGAACACAGTAAGTTACGCATATTGCTCATACTGAAAAGAAAAATCAGATAAAAACGACCACTTACTCGCCTAACTTTGCCCAGATAGCCAAAGCTACTCTCAGTATAATTTCAGAGCCTTCAAAGAATACTGAATCCCAGATCTTCAGAACTGTATGGTTAGGCAGGCAAGTGGCAAAGAGGGTCAGAAACCACTGCATTGTGAAGACATTTGTAAGTGGGGGTTCGTAGCCTCCTGGGGGGAAAAAAAAAAAGCTTAAAGTAATTGTAATTTACTATTATTTTACAAGAAGTATAAACTGCATGCTGAAATCCACCAAACATTCTAGTACCTCTGTTACTGCTCAAAACTTACTTAGCCTGCAGCTGTCCAAAGATAAGCTGAGAAAAAGAGCAATGAAAGAATGACATACTTAGTCACCTTTCATTCTGCTGCACTGTGAAAAGCTCCAAGCAGCACTATCGGGTTTGGACTACAAACCCTGGAAAACACAAGATTTAGCTGGAGTTAACTCTAGCTGGTGGCCGGTCGTGAGTGGTGTTCCACAGGGCTCAGTTTCGGGTCTGGTCTGGTTTAACATCTTTATCAGTGATCTGGCTGAGGGGATTGAGTGCTTCCTCAGTAAGTTTGCAGATGACACCAAGCTGGCGGGAGTGTCGATCTGCTTGAGGGCAGGAAGGCTCTGCAGAGGGATCTGGACAGACTGGATCGGTGGGCCAAGGCCAGCTGTATGAGGTTCAACAAGGCCAAATGCTGGGTCCTGCACTAAGGTCGCAACAACCCCATGCAACGCTACAGGCTTGGGGAGGAGTGGCTGGAGAGCTGCCCAGTGGAAAAGGACCTTGGGGTGTTGGTCAACAGCCGGCTGAACATGAGCCAGCAGTGTGCCCAGGTGGCCAAGAAGGCCAACGGCATCCTGGCTTGGATCAGGAATGGTGTGGCCAGCAGGAGGAGGGAGGGGATCGTGCCCCTGTAACCAGC